CTTAGTGTTATGTTAGTGTTATGTTATAATGTAAATTTGTTGTGTGTTATTATTATTATTCGTTTATTTATTTATTTTATGTCTATATAGTTTTTTATTATTTTTATTTAATTTTTAGTTTTAGCTATTTTAGTACATCAAGTTAAACTAAACAAAACAAAAAAAGTTTCCTTGGGCAACTCCTTGGCAGAAATAAGATATGTTTTTTAATAATGAATTTCAGTTAATGTTTATTTACTAAGTATTATTTTTATTTATCGTAATACTGCTTAAATTGTTGTTGTTTTTCCCAAAAAAATGTAAAAAAGTTTTCCGTTTAATTTAATTGCAGTTTTGTTTTTGTTTTTCCGAGCAAAAAATAAATATCATACATTTTTTCCTGATTTACAGAAGAGACCCACTAAAATGTCATTCTGTAACAATCTTGTCAGGCATATTTACAACCAAAATCAATTTATGACATATTAAAAGACTAATTACTTTCACCCCAAATACTAATTAGTTGTAATTTTACATTTTTTAAATGTGCCACTATCCTAGGTTTTGCCCATTAGTCAGTAAGAATTTTTTACTCATTTAAAACACAATAACATTTAATATGCTCCTTTATTCTTTTATATATTTTAATATGTACAGGTCAGAATAAGCATGTTGTTGAATTTTTACATAAATATTGTGTTACACTGAATGACAATGTAACATTATTTCAACCAAATTTTAACATTTTATTCTCCAAAAACGTATTTGAAACCTTAAAAGTAGACACTTTACTTACATTTAATGTGCTTTCTATGGACATAAAATCACTTTTGTAAATTTCTTTTGATGCTGACATCTCAACGTCTTTGACCCACATATATATTATTATTTTATAATTGGTGTTTAATGGGAAACTTTTATTTCAAAAGTGTCCAAAAATAAGGTCTCAACAGAGCAAGCTGACCCACTTTTAATAGGAGTGCACCTTTAAACCGATCAAAATATGTGATGTACTTAATTCAACCCATTAATGTCCCGAAGATTCTGCGGTAGGTGATAACATTACCTTTCGTCCTGTATCTGGACATCTTTGGGCCAGGAGCCTGGCATTTCGGTCACAAATCCCATGTCATCGTGGGAGCTGGATGATGATTGGTCAGACAAGCGGGCAGGAAGAACAGGTGGCCTATCATCTTCAATGATGACTGTGTCGTCCTGGGGCATGTTCACAGTGGGGGACAGCTGGTAGTGACCTGAGACAGAGAGAACATGTCAACGTTACGCTGGAAAAACCCACAACTGTTTCTGAGATCGGACAAGCTGGCTTTGAATGACCACAAAAAAAGTGACTCAAATCCCTCGGAAAATGTAGGAAGTAAGGTGTACACTCAGATATGACCAAACTGTCCCATATAAACATTTATGTACTGCAAAAGCAACAATTACGTTTGTGCCTGAAATCAAAACACAGGTAGAAAAAAGTAACTTACTGTAAGTCAACAATCCCTAAAAAATACACAAAGCAGACGGAGCGTAAACGAAGATGTTTGAGCAGAACAAAAAGCACATGTTCACAATTAAAATGAGGCATTTCCATCCAAACATGAACTTCTGGAGTTCCGCCGTGTTTCGTTCCAAGTGTATTTATTTCAACTATAAGTCATTTTGCAACTTTAGCAGCTTAAGAGCAATCAAATGTAATTGCTCCTAGACGAAAAAATAACCCTGGCGTCCTCCCAGCAAAAATAATACTGAGATTGAGTTTCAGCGCGGCCCAGACAACAAAATACTTGAGCAGAAATAAATGAGTGTTTATGTGTTTCCAGGCGTTACGCCGAGCATGCAGCTTCTGAAACTTGCAGCTTTAGCATGTGATAACAATTAATGAACACTTCATGATTGGTTTTATGTTAAACACAGGTCACGTAGGGATTTTATCTTAAAAAAAAAATGGGGGGTAATTCAGGAGAGGTCAGACTATAAAATAAAATAAATTAAAATAAAATAATTAGGTAAAAATAAAACATAAATAAACTAAAATAAATAAATAAGATCAGTATAATAAAATAAAATAAATTTAAAATAAAAAAAAACTAAAATAAAAGTAAATATAAATTAAACTGAACTAAAATAAAATAATAAAATAAAATTGTTGTGTACAATCATGCATGTTTTTATTCAAATACACTAAAATAAAAATAATAAAAAAATAAAATATAAATAAACTAAAATAAAAATAATAAAAAAATAAAATATAAATAAACTAAAATAAAAATAATAAAAATAAAAACAAAAAATAATAAATAATAAATAAATAAGATCAATTAAAAATATAATAAAATATGAACTAAACTAGTTGTGTATCATCATGCATGTTTTTGAAAGTAAAATAAAATAAAATAAAATAAAATGGTTTACCTCATTTTGCACCATCACGCATGCTCATGATGCAATTCTTATTTTTGACTGTCATTAGACATCGTAGCATAGTGGTTAAATATCTAGACTGCTAACTGATAGTTCATAACCTTTTGGGCAGATCACAAAATCACAAAAGCATTGTGTCCTTGTGGAAGTCAACTTTAGATCACTCCACAAGGGCTGTTTCTGTTAATAAGTATATGTCATTTTGGATTAATCATCACCAAAATGACCAATCTGTAATTAGTAGAGTCCATTAGAGAAGCTTTGTCATGCTAATTTAGTGCACTGGCATCAGAGCGTACATGGTAAAGGCCTCTTGAAATGTGTGAATGCACACACAATCCTGAAGAGTAAATGAACGGCATGAATCTTCAGGAAGTGAACAGAATTACAGCGCTGACCTGTGAGACTCAGCTTAACTTAGACTAATCAGACATTTAACTATCTGCTGCGCTAAACTTTCATCGCTAAATCATCAACATGTACACATGACAAAACATTACAAAGCTCAGCTTGAGGAACTTGAGGATGAGCAGCGTTTTCACTTGAGACGAGACATTTAAAGGCCGTTTCCAGCATCGCAGGGGTGAGATATGAAGACCGAGATCAAGAAACTATAAGGAGTTTAATTTGATTTCATCAACACGACTGACGAAACACTTAGAAAATGCAAAGCACTGGTGGCTCTGGAGCTCTCAAAGTCTCCTGGACGTTTACAAGAGGCCTTGATGCTGCAGGACAGGAGCCCCGCTGGAGATCCACGATTCATTCATTCATTCATTCATAACGCTGGAGAAGCAGTTACCGAGCGGTTGTATATATACAAATCTTTACATAATATATGAGTGTAGACATCTTAATCTACTTGTACTAATCATTTCTTTTATTAATTAATAATCATTATTTTCTAAAACATTTTAAATATATATTTCAATGATTTTTTAAACAAATATCATAATGTATTAATTATAAATATCAATGTTATTGCTTTTTTCTGCATCTTTCTGCAAGTGCACCAGTGAAGTTTAATTTGGCAGACAAAATTTTCCCAAATACTGTTTGTTTTTTTTCAAGCAATAACACAAAACTAAGTCAAACTACTTTGAAGAAACTTAACTGAGAGTGAATAATTAATATACATATTTATTTCTTCATCATGATATCAGGACCATGATATCGCCCTGACAAGTTTCACTTCATGCCTAAAAAATAAAATAAAATAAATAAATAAAAATAAAAATAAAATAAAATTTAAAAAATAATAAATAAATGAATGAATGAATGAATTAATTAATTAATTTTAATGAATGAATGAATGAATGAATGAATGACTTTAGTTATTTAAACTTTAATTCAGAAACTGGAAAAAAAATATGCTGGTCATAGAAGAGTCAAAGATTAATAAACGTAAGTTAAATGCAAAAATGTCTTCTTTTTTTTTTTCAAATGAATTAAAAAATGATTAACAAATCGGACCCTATAGCATATTACATTTCCAGAAACTGCCAGTGACCAAAATTAAATCCACATGAAAAAAAGAAATAAAACTAAATAAAGAAAGGATCCATACACTTAAAGGGGTCATATGATGCTGCTAAAAAGAACATTATTTTGTGTATTTGGTGTAATGAAATGTGTTTATGCGGTTTAAAGTTAAAAAAACAAGTGACCAAAATTAAATCCACATGAAAAAAATAAATAAAACTAAATAAAGAAAGGATCCATACACTTAAAAGTTGCAGGCTGTCCATGCAAGGTCATTTTTTGCTCATGCAGAACATGGTTTTAATTGGCTTTACTGCTGAATACAGTCGTATCTTGCATTAAATGAGGCCTTTCCTACAGATTTTGTGACACAAGTGCTGACCTCCTCATACAAGGAGAGTTACTCTTGGCTATGCTAAATGGCGTAAAGGACACCTATAGAAATAGCCACTGTGACACTGTGAAAAGGTGAAAGTCTTTAACATGGAAGATAAAAACGCTGCGACCACAATTCTGCTGCGGTCGACTAATTGGCTTAACGTTTTATTGAGATTATATCCCCCGTCCACCCACTTACACTCATGATTTCATGGTGAATCATAAAAATCTGCCTAAAAACGGACCTCTTAATTGCAGGACAAGAAAAATAGCGAAGGCGTACTTGGCTTATTATACATTAGTCTCTGAGAAGAGAACAGGAAATCAGCAGAAGAGGAGTACAGAATGTCTAATGATTTGTGAAGGCACAATGAGGTACCTGCTCAGTAAGCAGTACCAAAAAAGCTCTGCGGGATGTTCTTGAGAGAGCTTTGTTCTGGAGGGAAGGTGTTAGTGACTGACAAATCCTGCTGACATCTTCTCAGCACCTTGTCTAGATCCATTATCCAGAGTGTGGATGAGAGTCGAGGGGCGCGATGTGAAGAGTTGGGTGGGTTAAAAGTAAGACTAATTGTCGCCGTCTTAGTGCTGATGTGGCCCCTACGGTGCAAAAAGACCTTTATTACCCACTTAAAGAACCTCAAGAAACACATTGTTCCTCTAGAATCGTGTCATATAACACAACCTAAACAGGATGCATTTTGTCTCAAACTGGATGACCAAAACAAAAGACTGTTGCTTTACCCAAAAGAGCTTTCCTTACCAAACACATCGTGCTTTTGTTTAATCGTGAAGATTGCTTGCATCCCGAGGACATTTGATTCAGGTCATTTGAGGATAAGCATCAAGGCTATCATGTGCGGTCTTTCCCAGACCGTTGGGTCTCATGAAGGAGCCGTTTGTGTTCGTAACTGTCTCTTCTGTTTAATCTGCACTGAATTCTGCTTGCAGGGTGCTGATGGCATGGTGGTGGCCCTACTGTTGTTTTCTGTCATGCTGCGATCAAACGACCCCTCGCAGGGTCTCTCTTGCTATAACAAATAGACCCCCATGCTTGTTTGCTGGGCCCTGAATCTAAACATCGTGGGAATGGACTGACTGGCGTACAGAGCAGTGTTGGCCCCCCAAATCAGGGTTTGAACAAATAAACTTGAATGAAATCAGTTCCTTGATGGTGCATCCAGAATGACTGAGGGCAACAGATTTTCAGGATGCAGAGGGGAGCTGACTTTGAAGAATCACTCATCAGGGGACCATAAAAGCTATCCGGCTGCTACTTGTATTTCTTGTACATCAAGTGCAAATAAAGCATAGGGTCAAAACCTTAAAATGAAGCAACTCTAAGCTGCAACATACAGTAGGGCTCATTGGAAATATGTGCCTCTAAATATATTTCTGCAGAACTAAAAAAAAAAAAAAACGTACCTATACATACGAATCGCTGCAGTTTCCAGTTGAAATGAACACTAGAGGCAGTAAAACTCCAACAACTTTTATTCCTTTTCGCACAAAGTATGATTTGCAGGTCCACAGTTTTGATCAATAAAGCCTACTTTTCGCATAATTACTGGAGGAATAATATGTTATGAATTCAGAACAATTTTAACATGCTGCGAGATTTAAAAACTGATACTTTTGAACGTGTCGTCACATATACAGCTTCATACTGTATACATGAGTTTTCTAATTCAGTAGGTTTGCTCAGTAGCTCATGTGATACGGTGTTGCACTTGAGTGATGAAGAGCTCTGGTATGAACCTCGTTAAACCACGGTTCAACAAAACAGCTCATGTCCGCATAAGGAAGTTAAAATAGCACGGCTGCATCAAGAAATGCTTTTTTATTTCACTTTTGCATTTGTTAACACTATCGGGTAGGTTTAGGGTTGGGTTTGGTGTAGGGGATATTTCCAACACGATAGAGCATTACATTTTAGTGACACTCCTCGGATATATGAATTATGAAC